TGATACTAATAGAGGTGACCTCAGATGGACGGATTAGAAAGAAGTTTATTGAACGAACTAGAGAAAGAAAATCATGGGAGAAAAACAGAACATCGTAATTCGATAGGGTATACATTGGAGTTTCACCCGCTCTACGTGGAGTGGCTTAGTGCTCTGGGAGAAACCCGATATTTGCGCTATGCAGTAGTCGTGAAATATATTTTGTATTAGTGTTGTTTTTCATATCACGGGTGAAACTCCATTGCACGTAATTTCATATAAAATCAGTGGGAATCAGTGCCTCCTCGCCCTATTTAGAAGTGTCAGGTGGTTACGACTCCATACCAAGCGACTACTCTGCTCGACTCACGAGTGAAAACTATCATAGCATCATGGACCACTCAGTTGACATTTGGGTTGTCGAGGTAGATGGAGGACAGTTTCGGGGGGGAAGTTTCGAAGTGTTTAGGTGTATTCGGACTTGGATGAATATTGTCATAGTATAGCGCCAGCCTGGGATGAGGTCTCAAGTGACCTCAAGGAGTACATCAAATTCGGGAGAATCAACTCCCATACTGACCGAGCGGTGAGTACTAGGTTGAAGTATGTCCGAACGATACGAACCGCTCTTCATTGAAGAAGGGGCGAAACCAACCAGGGGGCACTGAAGACATGTGAGGTTGTTGTATGTGTCAGTTGTTCAAGTCATTGCCGATAACTCCGAGAACAACCCCGACAATCTTCCTCTTCATGCCAGCCCATCCCGAGATCCCTCCTAGTTTGATGCCGATCGCTGAGATCAATCCAAGGACATTGAAGAGGTACTTTGCTGTTTAATTTCATGGCGCGCGGTAGTGTTCTGCTAGGTGGATATTGCACGAGCTGCCAATAGTGTACCGGACGGTCACGTCTGTGGAAGCGGCGGAGAAGGAAGCAATGTTGAGCGGTGATGATTTGCCACACTCTGTTGGATTGACTGTGTTTTCAGATCACCCAATTATGGTAGTGTACACGCGATCAAGCCATACCACTCCTTTGTTAAAAGCTATGATGTGAGGACGAGCTGTGGTCTTTGGTGGAAAATGGTACGAGCTTTTAGATACAAGTTTTCTCATGCAGTGAACTTCTTGGTTGTGAACAGCGATCAATTGCTACCTCGTCGGAATGATATTGTAGCTAAGTTATACTGTAGTAAAGGGTAGGGGTGATTTTCACATTCCAAACTTCCGCATGGAATTTCTGGATCGTCGCCTCTATCATAACGATTCGCACGATATCAAACATAGTCAGTGTCGGCACGTAATTCTAGAGGCGATTGGTCTGGAACTGTTGATAGTCTCTACTTTTCATTTCCTCATTTGCTCGTATTAGAGTTCACCATGGTTGAGTCGTGGCTTGTTAGATGATGGGCGTGAGGTGAGTACTCGGCAGTTGAGCACCAAGATGATCGAGGAAACGTTGTCGGAGATGCTGAGGGAAATACCGTTGGAAATAAACCAACTTAATGTTAAGCTACTATGTAGACCATCGAAGAGTGTCTCTGACTCGATGAAAGTGTAATAACGGGGCGCGGCTTTCAATCTCGGCTTGGGGGGTGACGACAGTGAGTTCTCCTCAGCTGTTCATACAGCGTGTTAATTTAATAAGGGGCCACCCCCTGTAACTTTTCATTATGACCAAGTTGAACTTGTGACGGTTAGGTATTGCGTTCTCATGTCACCTTCTGTGCGCAAGGATGTAGCAGATGAGTTAGTGACATCTTTGAGGAGGCAGAAGACGACATTCCATAAGTTCGATCCTTCTGATGTCGATATAGACATCCAGCTAGGTTGGGTTGGAGAGGAATGTGCGGAAAAATATGGTAGCTCTCCGAGTCGCGCGAAAGTTGGGAATAATTTTTATTGGGCTTAGGTGATTCTATCGTTCTCGAATACGAAACTCAGCGGTACGCCACACTGAAAGGTATTAACGATGAAATCGTCTAGTGAGAAATTGAATGGCAGATCCAGAGACGAGGATTCCGCAGCTCTTCACTGATCTGGCTCTTGGCGATATATTGTTCAACCCATTGGAGGCACACATCGGGGAGTGTCTCGAAGACCCTAGGAGGTCCAGGCTTGATGCGGTCGTAAAGCTGGTCGCGACCAAGGAGGGAATGTGAGTGGATCCCAATGCCTCGGAAAATCACAGTTGCCAATTTTGTGTTGGAATATATGTTCGCTTTCCTCAGCTGAGCTCGGGAGTTTTCTCACTAATCATTAGTGTTCACAAACATTCGGATAGGAGTATACAGAAATCAATAATGATTTCCCAGAATTTCCACATGTCACCAAC